TATGAATGTTTTTTGATGGCCTCTTGCATATGAGTGTTGATGTGGGCCATAGCTCACCCATTCTTTCTCTCTTTCTCTCTCTCTTTTTTTCTATCTCCCTCTTGATCTCCTTCAATTTGACAAGTCTCAAGGGTAAAACAATTGCAAGTTTGTCGTTGTGTGGATCAAATACGGAAGTGGCTCTTTCAGACTTTCTGATCAAATGGATCTTCTGTTTGTCACTGTTGTAAGCTAGAGGGACTGGATACCAAATGCTACAAGCCACACTGACTAAATCGCAGCTTATATCTCCACTGCTTAAGAACAGAACAGCAAGGTCTACGGTTCACATCACACATGCAAAATTCCGCATTGGCTTAGATTACTCCATCTCTAAAATGACTTCTGAATATTTCAGTCTGCTTGTATTACTTCTACATTTAGCAGTTCAAATTGAAGTTTACTTTTTAAAGTGTCGACCATCTGCATTAATAATTGAAACGCAGTTATGCACTTATCGCCCACATTCAGATCCCGGCCCTGACCCAGCGCAGAGGAGGCCTGTCTCAGATCAAGTGCTGTGTCGGCTTTGATTTATTAAGTTTGCTCCGGCTGCATCCTATTCCTCTGCCAGGGCTGAAATGTTAATTAGATTCTGCACAGTTTGTTTTCCCCCAAAAGGTCACCAGTAAACAGCCTTTGTAACATTTGTCGCCAAGGCCTTTACTTGTGTCCATTGTAATTGTGCTGGAACGTGAAAAAGTGGAAACCGTTTCTCACCGCTTGTCTTGAACTCACCAAATATCCACCGCAAAAAAGTAAGAATTAAAATTAAATGTGCAAACACAATGTTGTTTTTGTTGCTCCTCCTTCAGTGCCAGTAAGAGGAGGAAGCACACACAGATGGAGACAAACGTCCTTTGATAAAGTGGACATATCTGCAACACTTAAGATACCAGGTTTTTTTACTTTTCATGCATTTCCTCTTTCATTGTGGTCTTTGTGTGATTCATAAAATAATAAATATATGTGTGTAGGCATAATGCAGCAAAAAAAAGTAGTTTTAACGAGAATACGTTATTTTAAATTATGTGAGTTTTTTGTGTCATTCGGAGATTCATTTATTAGCACCTTTATTTAACCAGGACAGCGATGCACATGGTCAAGTATCTCTTTTAATGAACATAAAAGACATGGAACGCTTCAGATGTTAGTTGTGCACATATCAAAAGGATCCCGCAGTCAGGTGCTATGGGTGCAGGCTTTGGGCTCATTACCGTGGGTCTAATCCGTCTTGTATGGATGGTATGGCGCACTGCAGACCTCTTTGTTCTGGAGTGACACCTTTGTTGTCACAGCGACACATGAAAAGGTCAGAGGAATACGAAAGATGACACTCAAAAGAGAAAAAATAATGTAAAAATGATGTGCTGGAACAGTACCACGTACCCACTCTGTATCATGTTACTGTACACGGATGTTGCCCACCATGGTCCATTGTACCATCCACCCACTTTCTTCTGCTTAATGCCGGGTCACAGGGGCAGCTTTTGGAGCAGAGACACCCAGACTTCCTTATGCACACTTCCTCCAGCATATCTGGGGGAATCCCGAGGCGTTTCCAGGCGAGCTGGAGACAAAGTCCCCCCAGCCTGTCCTGGGTCTTCCCAGAGGCTTCCTCCTAGGAGGACATGCCTAGAACATCTCCAGGAGGCTCCCGAATCAGGTGCCCGAGCCACCACAACTGGCTCCTCTTGATGCGGAGAAGCACACTCCATCCTTCCCTTTTTCATGTACTCAGACCATGGATCTATAATAACAACTGGATAGGGTAATACTAGCTTATAGCTGTCCCACCCATGGGCACAGGGGGCGCCCGTGGTACTCCAAACTAAATTCACGCGGGCTACCCAGAAAAAAGTCCCATAGAACTCCATGTAAATTAAAAAAGCTCGACCTCAGCTGACAGAGAACCTACAGCTTTCATAAAGGTTGGATTTTTGGGGGATTTTAGTGTCCCTTGTTATCCTGAACTTTTTTTCTTCTTAAATCCTTCGGTTTTCTAAATCCACACTTTACTCCCACAAACTCTGCTCGTTTCCTTCCAGCTCTGATTCCGCTCTTCCGTTGATCTGATGAGCAGTTCTGATTGGTCAGAGCGTGGCCGAGCCCCTCTTTGCACATGCATGAGAGCCACACACGCGTATTTGGCGCAAGCATCATGGGAGATAATCCACTACGCAGAACCGGGAGGACCAGACGATGCCCAAATATAGGCGAGTTCTGCTACTTTCCCGGTCTCCGTGAAGTCCCATGCGCTATTGAGCACAAGCCATTCATTTGAATAGGGCGCCATCTTGGATCACAGGGGCTTGACTCAGACCCAGAGATACTTGAGGAAGGACCTCTCTACCCACCTGGAGAGCAAACACGTCAAGATCTCAACCACCTCTGAATGATATAATGATTCATCTTCTATTATTTGCCACCGAAATACATTTGTGAAGGTCTTGCTACATAATGCAGAAGTGCACCCTCTGACAGGGCACTCATCTTGACAAAGAAGAGTGGCAGTGGCAAAGTTCTTCAGCATTTGACCTTGATAATAAAGTTTGGTGTATTGAAGTCTGAAGTGCCCGCTGCTGCTGTCTGTCTTTGAATGTAAGTGCAGATAATGCAGGATGCCAAGGAAATGAATGCGCAATTTTTAGGCAGCTTTTATTCTATATTCATTTATAAAAGCCATCATCTTGCTTAATGCCGGCAGAACAGTTTGGATGTTGTCTGTTTGAACAACATCAAAAACATTAAGCAAAGTAATTGTTCTGAAATGTGTCCTTTGTAGCCGTCTGAGACACATGTACAACACGTCCTATGCAACAGTCAGTGCTTTATCACAAGATGCATTTGTGTAATCTCACAGTCAGTTTAATATCTGGAAAAGGTAGAACGCACAAGAACGCATATTATTATACAAAATGAATACAGCATGCAGACTTATTTCTTTCTCTTTTGACCAGCGGGAGTAGTGCAAATAAACCACGATTGAATGTCTGCAGTAGTATAAAACTCTGATGTATACTGAAGTTGTTAGAAGTTACAGTAAAGGACAAACCTTGAACACATATCATTTGCTTAAGGTCCTTTTATATTCAGCCGCAGCCCTGCACTGCATAACCCTATAGATGCAACATAAGGTGCCATTGCTTTGTGTGTGTCCAAACAGTCAACAGTTTTCTCTTCGGTTACTTCTACTCTTCCTAAATATTCTGCCAATGCTAATCTTTTTCATACGTTTGATCGTTTCCATGTGATTCATATTTCCAGATTGCATCGTTTTGACTCCTTTCTGTGGTGTTAAAGAATGTTTCCTATGGACATTATATTTTCTGCGAAGCTGTGTCTGATACTTTCAATTCTTGCTTTTTCTCTTTTCCACATACAAAAGGAATTGCCTCAGAGTTGTTGAGACCCCACTTCATAAAGTGGCAAGTGTACATTGGAAAATGCTGCAGTAGTTTGTTTGATTTACATTGGAACAAGTGGTGTTTTGCATACTATTGTGGAAATGTAAATTAATTATGTAAACAGTTTTGCAGGCTTATTTGCATAGTTTTATTGATTTCTGTGTGTTGGTGGGGGAAAGGAGAGGAGGGCATTGTCATTCATGTCAGTGGAAGTGTCGGGTGGTTGCCTCCAGTGAGCCTGGTGCATAATTGAGAACATCTGTTGGGAGATATTATGAAACTGAAGAGTAAATTCAACCTTGTAAGCCAATCAGAGCCAGCTATCATTGCATCTTTCAAACACCTCATAAATGTGTGCTTCTGTTGATACCAAACACCAATTTTGATGTAAACGATTTACGATTTACGTTTATTAATCTAAGTTAGTTCCATATGGATTGGAACTTCTTCCTTAATACTACGGTACCTAACTTTTCGTTTTCATGAATAATATGTTATTTGTCCCAACAGAAAGAATCTTTGTAAAATGAATAAGTTTAAGAGATCCTTTATGCGTCACAGTGGGTAAATGTCAGTGTTGCATCCCCAGTTACAGAAATGAGGATCACACAACACAAGATAAATGAACAATAACTCTATATTACATAAAATAGAATCTCTAACTTTAGCATGAATAAGAAGCAGTATAAAATCTCTGGCTTTAACAGAGTGAAGAAGCAAGAATTAACTACAAAATCCCTGAATTAGCGTAATAAAGAAGCAAGTATAAAGTACATATTCTAGTGCAAGAGATACAGTAGATAGTTGTATGGATCCATCTGTACATGTTAGCAGCGTGAGGCTCTGGCACAAAGTGACTCAGTAAAGTGACAGTGGACACATGTGGTTTCGTGATCATTCCTCATTCTGACATTACTTCAAGTTATTGCACAGATCCTTTGACACAAATCAGGCCACCACACGCTGGGTTTATCTTATTAGAGAACATGTTACCGTTTGCATATACTGTAAGAAAGAGCTCTGTGAATCACTATTTGATGCTTTGGGCTGAGAGCTCCTTGGCTGAGTGAGGGTGGTTCTCACTTTTTCACTTCTCTGTCTGAAAAAGGTTTTTTTGTTTTATTATTATTACAGATAGTTCTATTTCTGTGATTTGAAAGTTATGTACCCCAGCATTACCTCAACTAAAGCAACTTCTACATGTAATTTAAGGTTGCAATACTCTTACATAAGATCGACATTTTCCAAATCCCTTTTCACTGCTGGTTCCTTTTGTTCTTCTACCTTAAACCCAGCCCTCCTCCAGATTGTCTTATAGCTGTCTGCCTTGTGTGTGCGTGTGTGCGTGTGTGCATGTGTGCGCGTGTGTGTGGGTGCCCATCCAAAATGAACGAGCCGCTTTAAATAATAGGCTGAAGGCTAACAGAGGGACCCCATCAACCTCGGAGCGCTATCCTCTGTGAAGTCATCAATCGTGCGCTAAAGCCGGCCTCCGTAATGACATTGTGGCAGTGTACCGGCGCCGTGCTGCAAAACATATTAATGCTAGCCATAATGAGTTTGACAGCCAAATATGGTTGTCTGGTAGAAACCAGTACTGTGGCTTATGCAACACTGCCCCCAGATGACCAGCTGAGGTAGTGCGTCTGCAGAGAGCGTTGCAGTGGTGTGATGGAAAGATACTCAAGATAATAGGATAAGGTGCAGAGATGAGTCCGTTTAAAATGTTGTATATATGTATGTACAGCTGGTTTTAAATTATTAAAGAATGTGTTGTTCTGTTCATGTTTTTATATTTTATAAAGCTGGAGTATCTAACTTCCAAACCACAAACATGTGGCTATGTGACGTAATCCATCTAACTATTTCCTAGCTTTGCATGTATGCTATAGCATTTGCACATCAATCGATCAGATTTTCAGACAGAAAGACTTAAATTGTAATTGTATCATTCTTACCTGGGACACTGTACTTTAATGTATAGTAAGTTCTTTCCCAAATAATGTAATTGAAGGGCGACAGTTGGTAGAGCATTGGCCTTTGAGCCTAAAGGTCGCGGGTTCAAGCCCATCATACGACCCACTTCACGACTCCCACTGATGACTGCTGTCGTTGTGTCCTTGGGCAAGACACTTAACCCCACTTTGCCTGAAACCCCCGCTGAAAGATCTCAGCTCCTGTGGACTCACCACCTGCAGGAGGATCAGTGAGGGGCTGGTGCTCTGTGTACTGGGTGCAGCTCTGACTGTCACCACCCCAACCCAGAAATGGACTAAGGGAAAGAAAATGGATGGATGGATGGATAATATAATTGAAATCATCCATTCCCTTGGCATAACTGCAAACAGTAATATTTGCTGGTGCAGAACAGTTAAACCAATTATGTGGGGCCTCAAGGATTTTGATTTATCTTGACCAATCAGGAGGCTGCGGGGTGAGCATGGGCAGGTCTAACCAGTGCTTGTCTTCAAAGAGCATCTGACAAAAATGTTAATTAGATTTTTGTTTTCCCTTTTGACAATCTGTAAATCCACTGTAAATAGTTTGTGCTTCTGTGCTGATTCAAGTCTTTGAGCAACACAAGTCACGCACTTTGCTTGTGTTGCTTATTCACATAGATAAGCGGGACAGAGTATCAGCCTTAATTCAATAAAGTAATACACCTTGATCCCCTGTGTTTCAGAATCCTGGAGCTGCAGCAGAATGGAGACATGGACGTCCTGAAGCTGAAGTGGTGGCCTCGGGACAGCCCCTGTGACCTGTACAGTTCAGTCCAGACTCGACGCAGTGGGGCCGCTCTGGACATCCACAGCTTTGCCGGGGTCTTCTGTGTGCTGGCGGCCGGAGTGCTGCTGTCCTGCCTCATCGCTATGGTGGAGAGCTGGTGGTCCAGACGCAAAGGCTCCCGCGTCCCTTCTAAGGAGGTACGAACGTGCATGGGGGATAGGATAGAGCTGCAGAAATGGGGCTGCCTTAATACGAGGGGAAAATGATAACACTATAATATTGAATGAGCACAGGTGGCAAGTAACTAAGTATTTTTTATATCATGTAAATATAACGTAAAAATGTGGGGATATGTGTGCCACAAAAACCTGCAATCTGAGAGAATAACCTCCTCAAAATCAGTTAAGGTTAACCCTCCAAATGCAATCCATCTCCAAACGTATACTTTTTACAGTCGTCAAGGTACACCATGCCACTTTCAGTTTCTGCTGTTCAACCAAAGCCAAAGCAGATACTGAAGATACAACATCACTGTTAACATATTAAAATTGACCTATATGTGTAACTGGTAATTACAAGTTATAACATAAGTTATAACATGTAGACACATCTTGGGCCAACTATTCACTAACTTCTACCAAACATTAGAGGAACCAGGTTTATTTTCATAGACTAAACAACATGAAGATAATATTTTTCTAGGTGTACCTGTGCTACATAGATATTCACCTGTCTTGTGTTGTGTGTTCCTTATTCCTACGGTTTTGTAACTTGTGTTGCATCACTGAAGTGTCCCCACTGTGGGACGAATAAAGAATCTCTTCATCTTAATCTTAACACTGAACCAAGAACCAAAAAGAACGTCACAGATCTGACAGGCTATGAGAAAACAGAACTTCCAACAGTGTTTGCATTTTCTCATGCATCAAACTGGGACTAAACGTGGACCTTAACCCGGACTGAGGACTCAGTCAGGACTAAACTGGGTTCAAGGCACTTTCAAATCACACCATTACGTTTTACGCTCAAACTTTCTTTTACATGTAATGACATAGAATTAATCTCCATTTAGAAGTTGCTAATAAAGAGCCATTATAAAAATAGATTTAATGAAAAACTTTGGCCTGTGAATAAACTTAGCAACAAAGTCCTGGGAGTTTGTGCATCTTGCAAGATGTTGCCATGGCAATCCAAACTTTCAGCATTGAAATTACATTTTCGCTCCCACACAATTATGTTTGCCTGGTTTTTATAATCGTTATGATATGGCTTTGGGAAAGTACTCAAATCAAACATGCTGCCTTCATTTTATAAAAAAACAACTTTGCCATACTTTCACTCTTCTTTTGCAACATTTGACACTTTGAGCCGAGAGCTGATTGGCTGAGTGAGGGCGGACCTCTCTTTTTCACATTTCTGCTAAAGATGAATGCAAAAAAAAGTATTAGAAGCTCATTTTTTGAGAGCTTGAAAGTTCCTTTTTTGTGGTTTGAAAGTTACGTATCACACCTTTAAAAAAAAGTACAATTACTACATAGTACTGTAAGTACTATGTTAACTTTTCAATAAAACAAGTGCATCAGAAGTCTGCATCCATCGAGTCTCGTCTGAAAAGGAGGCGGAACCTCTGCAGAGCGACTGTAAGTGGATCGGATGGAGGGGGTGTGAAGTGGTCCATAGCTTAGAGCAGAAAAATGTAGCATTAGCGGTTAAAAGCACTAAGCCTTTTGGAGCGCCGATAAGGAAGGTAATTTTCTCAAAGTCAAGATGTATGACGAACACAGATTAGAGGAGGCAGAGCTGCACCGGGACAAAGTTGCAATGCTGACAAGTCTGCTGCACTTTTGCCAAGGAGTGTCCTAAGACACGACTGAAGAAAACCGTATCCTTGTTAAAAACACTCAAGTAAAAAGAGATCAGGAAATAATCATCCATCTAACATCATCTGAAATGATAACTCTCCCAACCAGCACTATCACATTCAGTTATTGACCCACATTTCCATGCTCCCCCTGTGATTGGTCCGGTTGGCTTTACTACTAAATCATCCTTCTAATAAACTTAATTGCCTTTGTCTCCGCTTGTACACACCAGGGTTAAGCTTTGGGGAATCCTTGAAAAGATATTGTAGAAACGATTCCACTCATATCAGCGGCGTCTTTGCTAGGTGAACTTACCACAAGTGCTCTCCTATTAGGGCTAATCGTTGAGCATAATGGAAATGGCCATCGGATCATCAGACTGATAAAGCCATGTAGATACAGCGCCGCCAAAAGCAAATTTGCTAAAGTAAATTAAACGGGTGATTAAATGTAGCGCGGAGGGTATTGTTTCCACTGTTCCTATAGTTTAGGCCTAATTAGTGGATGTTTTCTCTCAGCTCATTGTATTTACTGTGCCAGGAAAGAGTCCGGGTAGATAATAGTGTTTTTGTACGTTCTCTGGACAATATATTATTTACATTTTGTCCGTGACTCGATACAGTAGTATATGGTAAGAATATATAACACATTGACGGCTGGGGGATATAGGTTTCTGCTATAGGCTGCATTGCATAATTCAGAACAATGTCTATGTTCCATTTAATGTATTTTTGTATCACCATAAATCGCAGCAGTCAACTCGGTGGAGGTCACACAAAGTATCAATTCATCAAGAACAGATTAGAGAGTCAAACAATTATAACAAAAGTAAATACAAGACTGAAACATACAAGAGTTGCAGGTTAGGGTGGTGCACTATCATTATCCTCAAATGTTCTATAACTTATACTTATTGAGTCAGTAAGTAATGTTTCTTTATATAGTAACACCTGAGGGTTAAGATCGACCAAGACCTGATCATATTTCACTGGTTTATACTTTAATAAATATTTTGAGATGTTTGGATTGTGTTGATTGTTACAGTATATTACAGCCCAGACCAACAAAGGAATTTATTGTAAACAGGTGAAATGTGTGGACAGGGAAATCGGAAGTAGAAGAAAATTGTATGCATGGATGAATGGGTGAAAAGTTCAATTTAACCCAAAAATTATAAGTGTCAGATTCACTACACATACATACTGTAACAGCATTAACAGCAAAACAATCCAGCATTCACTTTCTCATCAAACTAATATTTTGATAATAAGGACGTATCGATAAAACTGTTTATATTGAAAGATAAACAAAGATGTTGGTAAACAAAAGGCTTGTGAATTTCTTCATTCATATTTTTACAATAAATGCCCAGAAATGTAATTCATAACTGTACCGTCAAACCTCAACCTTTTCTAGAAGTGACTTAAAACACTCATACGCATATTTGTGTAATATTACTGGTCTTTTACTGCAGTCATCAGAAAAACTGCAGGATTTATCCAAACATGTGTAATAAACACAGGAATAAAACCGTATAATTCAACACTATTCATGCCAGGGTGAATGTATGGCTTTCATAACGTGGCTCTCTCGGTTCCTCTTTATTTTTCTATACAACCTCACATAATTGTCACTGTGGCGACTGACTTTATCTCGCAGGGACAATATGGACAGTGCATTAATCTCTATGAACCTTCGCCCCTGGCTTTGAATCTTCTCTGGTTTTGCATTTACTCCTCTCACCTCTCCGCTAATGTCATCTTAATGTTGTTTTGATGACGGAAATTAATTTTAGAAGTAAGGCAAACGCTTTGGTGTCAGCAAGATAATCAAGTGCACTGATTTTTGTAATGAGGAAAAGGCAAAGGTGGAGAAGAAATGACTTTAAAGTTGATACTCTCTGCTTTTATCTTTATAATTTATGAGACAATAGAGGATCATTATGTAGTTTAAACATTTGAAATCTCTAATGATCTAATACAGGGGAGCCCTAATGTTTTCACTCGCTGGGCCAACATTAATCGTACCAACGGGCTAAGGGCCAAATCTGCAAAAACGTAGTTTGCATTGATATGTTAAGCATTAAATAGTCTTAATTTCTGTTTCTAAAGGGAACATGCTAGTAAGTACTCTCCTTTCACCTCATTTTCAGCGCTAAATTCAGATACTTTCACGGGAAACCTGCATGGAGGGACTTGTATCACAGTACTACTGGCCATCAGTAGCCATTATAGACAACATAAAACCAGTATCAGTGAAAATAAAACATTCTATTAAACATCTAGAACATGTAACCCATGAATAAACCTCCTAATCAGGGAAAAAATTGTTATCTAAAGCACTGTTCTGTTTCTTCTCTGAGCACCGCAGTGACATGTAGAGAAGCCCGATATTACCAGGAATGGCCTGAATGTTGTGGCCTCATTGTCCAACACTAAGGCGACTGATGCTCCAACTAGCCCACTTCACTATCTTCCCGTTTTCCAACTTTTAGCAGACAGGCTGTTCTCCCAGGTCATAAATGAACAATTGTTTTTGCTGTACAGCCCACCTATAGTGCTACTTTATAAAGTCACTTTCTTACTCCAAATACAACTGTTATTCAGGAGAAGTGAACTTTAGTGCGTGGAGCTGTCGGGAGCTCCTCTTACTTGAGTAAATATCACGGATTATTGAAGGCCTGTTTTGAAAACCATGCAGGTGCCATATTGAAGGTGATTATTTCAGACAAGCCTTCGCCGCTTGAGCCACATCTTGTAAATGATCTGCGGTGCATTGTGAAATACCCAATCAGCCTGTGTGCGGCGGATCACCTCAGCAGGGATGTCGTCAAGGGCAATCAAAAACACCACCGGCTTATTATGGGATATGAGACTAGAGCGTGTTTTTATAGAAAGTATTTAGTGTTTGTTTATTTTTTCAAATAGACGGGGACAAAATATAGCAAACTTAAAGGGAGAGATGCAAGACACATCATTCCCATTGCAGAAAAGAGCATCTAAAAAGTACCATCACCAAAAATGTCCAATATGCAACTTTTTATGATAACCGGTATACCTTACTATCATTTTATTTAAAGACCACAATATCCATTCCATTCCGTGGGGATTGGTATCTAACAATATTATCCTTTCCCCTGGGTTGGCAAAATAGACTCCCAAAGAGATTATTTCTTTTTATAATATCAACCTATATCATGCCACAAATAACATCAGTATCCATAATGGAAAGGTCTATCAGTCCATTTATGCATATAATACTACTGTTCATACTGTAAGTCTATTCAGGCTTTACGGGCCCTGAAATATTCCATATTTAGCCTATGTTTAGGCACA